ACTGCACTTAGCCACATGATGATACAGGTACTGTTTACTCACTACTCTGTTGTAACATGTAAGTTAATATTTCATAATGATGATACTTCACTTAGCCACATGATGATACAGGTACTGTTTACTCACTACTCTGTTGTAACATGTAAGTTAATATTTCATGATAATGGTACTTCACTTAGCCACATGATGATACAGGTACTGTTTACTCACTACTCTGTTGTAACATGTAAGTTAATATTTCATAATGATGATACTTCACTTAGCCACATGATGATACAGGTACTCTGTTGTAACATGTAAGTTAATATTTCATGATAATGGTACTTCACTTAGCCACATGATGATACAGGTACTGTTTACTCACTACTCTGTTGTAACATGTAAGTTAATATTTGATCATAATGATGATACTGCACTTAGCCACATGATGATACAGGTACTGTTTACTCACTACTCTGTTGTAACATGTAAGTTAATATTTCATGATAATGGTACTTCACTTAGCCACATGATGATACAGGTACTGTTTACTCACTACTCTGTTGTAACATGTAAGTTAATATTTCATCATAATGGTACTTCTTTTAGCCACATGATGATACAGGTACTGTTTACTCATTACATGGGTTTTAGTTTTTACGTTTCAACTACTTTAAATGTTTATTGTTATTCACCTGATAACAGCTACCAGGAAGAAAAGAAAAGCTTGTTTGGAAAGAAAGTTTTTTTTATTAATATTTCAGTCTTTTGTTATTAGCTACAATTCACACTGTGTTTGATTCTTTTGCATTTTTATTTTACAGGAAGTTCTAATCTGTGGACATTCTTTGGAGGTGAATGCTGTAAGTGATATAGATTTGTATATTAGTTTACATCAGATGGTATTAATACAAACTATCATCACAGCTAACTTACAGAAACTCTGGATTTGGCCATCTTTGGATAATTCTCAGAACTCTTCATCTATTCCTGTCGGCACTGACCAGCCGAGAACTTTGAAGCAAGAGTTACCTCGAGACAGTGGAGTTGAATGTGAAGTGTCGATACTACCAAAGTTACCGTTGTTGGATGTATCTCAAAAGTCTTTACCACTTTCAGAATCATTAGCTATGCTTCAAGATTTAAACCAAACTACAGCCTGGCCACAAAACATAGTGCCATTTGATGTGTTACTCACAGCTAGTTCTATTCACATTGCATCATTTGCTCATGAGAGAGATCTTTGTAAACCATCTACTGATCTTTGTAAACTTGTACCCAAAAAGTTAAAAACACGAAAACAAGTTGTTACTGGAGAAACAAAAACGCGAAGTGCATCCTTGCCATCAAATCCAAGTAATTGTAAGCGTGGTAGCTCAAGTCGACAGGGAGAAACACTTAGGGAAGGAAGCGTTTCATCTGAATCAAGCCCTTTTCATGAAGTGCGTCGCTCGTCTTTTCCCGAGACCGGGAATATAAGTCTATTGGCTGAAATGATGGCCGAACCGGAAGAGGATGGCTATGAAGGATCTGAAGATTCTAGTGATGAAGCTAACACAGTTATTGATGACAAACCATCTGAGAAAAAAGACAAACCAAGTTGTCCCAAGCTTATTCCTTTTGTATACATCACCGTCTCTCAGCCACATGCCTTCGTTATGGTTCAGCCAACACGACAGAAACTGGACATGTCATGTTTTGACATTCAGGTTCAAGGTGCTGGACCTGGCTGTTTTGTTGATGGTAAGACATGAAAGTCCAATCACCACCAGCTTCATTGTGTAAACGTAATAATTAATGACTCTGTTTTAAATAAAATGTTGTTAACATGTAATGAATGCTAAGCCACATCAAGTATATTTGAAGTAACACTGAATTTTAATGTTTAAGTCATTTGTGATAACATAAAAGACTACAAAACAAAAAGCATTATAAGGGTTTTCTGAAGACGTAGATTCAATTCAAGTTATAAAAATTCCATAAAGAAGTTTTAGAGCTCTGTCTTGGCCACTGTTGTATCAGTACGACATTTGTTTTTAAAATGCTGAGATCTTATTGTTACAGTTTTATCTAGTGGTATTTCAATGCAGGATGCAGGATATCCTTCACATTATATTTTAACCAGTTTTATCTAGTGGTATTCCAATGCAGGATGCAGGCTATCCTTCACATTATATTTCTAAGGAGTTTTATGTTTTTATAGAAGGCATATTAATAATAAAAATCAGAATTATTTATTTCAAAAAAGGATTAATTGGCAACTCCAATTTGTGTTTTTCTAAAAACATGAAAGGAATAACTAACCCTTCCCCTGTTTTAGGTCATTTATGGTTTCTTTAGATATGCTTATTTGACTACCTAACGCATATCCTTCTAATGTTATCGAAATAGAATGGAATCAAGAGTTTTAACAACTAAAAATCTTAGGTTTATATTTTCCCTTAAGTGAAGGTAATTTAACCTATCATCATGCACATGTGCTTTGAGCATCACTTGTGATGTTCATATAAAGATCTTTTTTAATCTCGGACATTGAACCAAAACAACAAGTCATTGAAATTATGATTAAATCAATTAATGATCAATTAATCAAAATTACTTTTTGATTTTTTCATTTCTCAAAGTAACTGAAATTTTGCCATTATGTTTGTTGTTAAGTGCAAAGCTATACAAAAGACTACCTGTACACTGCCCACCATGGCATGGGTATTGAAATTCAGGTTGTAGCATTTTAAATTTTGTTGTTTTTTAGTTAGTTCATATGAGAATACTCTCTTTGTTTTATCTTCTTTTTTTTTTCGTCTAGTGAAAATAATCTATGAATTGAATGTACTCACTTAATAAGCCCATCAATTAATCGAATAGCAAATTCCACTAATTGTACAGCTCTAGAAGTGACTACAAATTCATTGAAAATAGTTATACTGTGGTTCAAATTATGTGAAATTTATCAAAAATTCTTAACCTGTTGGATTACTGCTATTTCATGCTGTTAAAAGCATCTATAAAAAGTGTAATACTGTAAAAAGCAAAGATAAACTTCATTAACAGTACTAAAAATACTTTAAAAGGACAGAATCTTCCTTTCAAAATAAATTACCACTAGCTTCAGCCAAAAAAAAACGTTTTATTTTGCTAACCTTTGAACGTATATTTTACGTTGTTGAAACTTATTTTGCTTACAACAACACTTACATATACATATCACGTTTTCCTTCGGTACACAGATCTTCTTTGTAGTTTTAGCTTGGCTTCAACAGCAGCTAGAACTCTTTCACAAAACTTAAATGTTTGCCAATGAAGAAAATAGTATTTTTCCATTTGGAGTTAAAGGTTGGTTTTCTGTGCTAATTTTGTGAAGTCTGTACTGTATACTGAAAATATAAAATAATCTTCATTACATTGAACCACTTTCTTCATTCTAGACGATTTTCATTGTAATCAATTTCAGTATATTAAAAGAATGAGTTTGGCTCTAAAACATTTTAGTGAAAAATTTCAAAGTAAAGTTAAATTACAGGGCTAAACTTGCATCTCGAATAATTTTTGCATTATGAGTTACTTTGTTTTTATTATAGCAACAGAAATCCTACCTCCTCTATCTCTGTTCACGGAACCATGGGTAGAGACACGACCAGGTGACAAAGATCCGAAGACTGGTATTCCTCCAGCACTGTACACACTCACTCTAAATGATTTTATTTTTCAGTCAGGTGAGTTTAATTAACCACATATTCATGTATCTGAGTGATTATTTTAAGTTCTTAAAACAGTAACAATTCTCAGAACATTAATCATTGAACCTTATGTGTATGAGAAGGTCAAAGTGTAAGTGTCACAGCCTTTTGGGAAGGTCAAAGTGTAAGTGTCACAGCCTTTTCACATTACATTTGAAATGTAATTAAATAACCTTCTCATTGGATGTTGGTAAGTTTGGCATTAAAATATAACTTATAATTCAAAGTTTTATATTATCTAAGTTTTAATTTCAAAAGAAAATATTTAAATAAGTTTCATTCTTCACTTTTCTGTATCACATCTCTGCTCTGAATTTCACCATTTTAAGATGTTCTTTCTGCACCTATATGATTTTTTGAGTGTTCTACTAATCACACATTTATACTACAGGTATTGGAATGCCAGAGTTTAAGTTTTTAACCTCCAAGCATCTTGTTTTATATAAATATATAAAAAAGTCAAATCTAAATACCGTGCATCTCCTGTTTCATCCTTTCTTTCAAAAATTGCCAGTAATTATGACATTTTCTATTGGATTGTTTACAACCAAAATAAAGAGCAAATATTTTTTTAACCAGGATAGTTTGTTTCAGCAATCATAATTAGCTATTTAGTCTCAGTTTCATTTTTCACGATCGTGTTTTTCTGCACTGCGCACAAAAGTGAATTTTTTTAACCTGTTTATTGCTTACTCGGGAAGCTATTTGAATAGCAGTTCTTTCAAAATATTCTATTATATTTCTTGATACATGTTTTTGTTCTAAAATGTGGAAGCTGCAAGAATTTTTATCAGGAGAAGAAGAAAGTCAGTTATAGTTTACGCTCGTAAAGATCGCGTGAGTCACACACATACTTTGCCCCTTGTGTTTTCAACCCGTGGCTAATTACCTCCTGCTTTATTTATTATTTTGATGGAAGGATTAGTACTCAAGTGGGTACTAAGTACAACAACAAAAGTATAAATTTACTGAAAATAGATATGAAAAAGATAACAGTTGAAACTTTGAAGATAAGAACTACATGAAACAAGGAAAATTATGCATCAAAAAAAGAAGAAAAATATAACAGTTGAAACTTTGAAGATCAGAACTACATGAAACAAGGAAAACTATGCATCCAAAAAAAGAAGAAAAATATATCATTCATTTTATTTCTTATATTTCAACTTTTCACTTTGATCATGATTTTGATAAAGTTACTGTTACTTTAAAATATCTTTATTTACTGGTGGCTGTTCCATCTAAGGAGTTAGTAACCCTGTCAATGATTTAAAACATCTTTATTTACTGGTGGCTGTTCCATCTAATGAGTTAGTAACCCTCTCAATGATTTAAAACATCTTTACTTACTGGTGGCTGTTCCATCTAATGAGTTAGTAACCCTCTCAATGATTTAAAACATCTTTATTTATTGGTGACTGTTCCATCTGATGAGTTAGTAACCCTCTCAATGATTTAAAACATCTTTATTTAATGGTGGCTGTTCCATCTAATGAGTTAGTAACCCTCTCAATGATTTAAAACATCTTTATTTACTGGTGACTGTTCCATCTAATGAGTTAGTAACCCTCTCAATGATTTAAAACATCTTTATTTACTGGTGCCTGTTCCATCTAATGAGTTAGGAATCCTTTCACAGATATAATCCTTGTTAGTAATCCTCACAATCCTTCAACCAATCAACATTTTTAGGTATCAAATCAACATCTGTATATCAAATTTCAAAATTTATGTAAAAATAATGATTCTAACAATTTCAAAAATTTGTGACTAGAAATATTTCTAAATTAATATTTTATCATTTTGTAACATTTATTTAGCGTAATACACAAAGAAGAATGAAAATCATTTTCAAGCTTTTCTGCACAGCTCCAAGGAGTTTTGCTTGTAAACAACAAAGAGTATTTTAGACTTTTTCTGCCGATCTTGTAGTAGAAATGTATATTTCTTAAGATACTATCATCCCTTGAGAATGCAATTAGACATTTCTTGTTTCTCTTTGAAAATAGCTACGGGAGAACAATAACATAATTTGATCTGAAGTTTTAGATATTTATAAATGAACCACAGATATCAGAATTTTTTGTAGATATTTTAAAGGTTTGTTTCATTCCTGGAAATGTTTTTATATTAAATTATGTTTCTATGAAAGTCACAGAAATTTTCTTTTATGCAAAGACATTTGGTAAGCCTAATTAGGTTTAGAGAATATGATAGGTGATGGTAAAATATTCCAATGTTATAAATCCTTATTTATTGAATATTATTGTTAAATTAATCATATTAAATAATAGATCTAAATAAAAAAAATGTATAATTTATTGAAAAGAAACTATATTTATTAAATAATTGATCTTAATCAAGAATATTGTTAGTAGAAATGATATTATTTAGTCTTACCTGATTTTTTTTTGAGAAATTAAGGCCTAGGTCAAAATCTTTATCAGTTTCAGCAGTTTTGTTTTACAAGTGACAGCCAGAAGTGGTGACTACTGTAATTGGCAAAATAAAATATCATAAGAAAAGTGTTAATAAATATCAGTTATGTTGAAAGTGAATGGATATATAACATATCATCAGCCCCCCCCCATAGCATTTTGTATGTGATTATGCTTCGCCAAATATGTGTTAGCTTTTGATCTCACAAATTAGAACCTCCTTTCCAAACAGGCTGTGCACGGGCCTGGAAATAGACAGAGATTGAGTTCTTCTTCAGTATCTGTGTAATCAGTCATATACAAGTGAATAATCCTAGTAGATGAGGAAAAAATGTATATAACTAACTTTTTTCACAGTAATCAATCTTAGTTTTCTTGAAATATTTTAGGAAGAGCAAAAATTAAATGTGAACGACCCATCAAGTTGAACTTTGGACTAAATAAGTGGAAGCAAGCTTCACTGTTTTACGAGTCTACTTCAAAGCTTCTTGGTTGGTTTGACTCATGTGTTGACTCTTCTCTCACCCAACAAGAAAGTGGTCAAACAAACAGATGGTTTCCTGTACCACATTCTGTGGATATGGGAACTCGACAGCTGGTTGCCGTGCTTGAACTAGATGCGGACAACAAAGAAACCAATCTGATCTTGAATGTTGGCAAAATAACAACGAATCTGATGATGCAGGTTGAATCTAAAGGTAACCATTTAATGAAACAAATGTTGAGTGGAAAAACATAATCCTGGGAACCATGTAGCTTATTGTAAACACTTTATTGAAAGCCATGTAGAACGATGAAAACAGTTAACTGTGATTACTAACCCATAAGTTTAAAAAACAAACTTTTTTTTTCACGAATCACAATCTTTTTCTTTATGCCTAGCTTGATCTGTTTGAAAATATATGTTTATCTTTCTGTAATATCAATTCTATGAAGAATGTAGGGAACAAAACCTTTTTGACATTTGAGATTTCATGGTTAGTGGAGCTATGTTATTTATATTCAGTGTTTTCTCAGGTTCAATCAATGACATCAGGTCAGTGACGTCCTGTACTGGTTTGATACTGAAGACCTCTCGTGATATCCAAACGCAACCTCTCCTTGGTCCGTTATCTCTCAGCGTGGATGTGGAAGCTCTGTGGGATAAATGGTCAACTCTTCCAAGAGTGGTGACAAGGTTTCATGGGGGAACGGTTCCCCTGAGGGTGGGACCTGAGCATGTGCAGTTGATGTTGGTTTTAAGAAAATATTTGGAAAACTTTCTTGGTGTGAGTAGGATAAAGATTAAGATTTTGTTTACCTGTTTATTGTATTAACTGCTTGTTACTTTTCTTTTTGTATTTGTCATATGACACCGATAGTATATTTCCGTTTTATCAGCAGTGTAAACACTACTTATAATTTAACTTCCAAAAGCCTAAGATTGATAGAGTATAGGAAAATAATGACCATAGCCAGAATATTTCTCTGTTTCTGTATGTACAAAGAATGTAAGACCTCTTAGTACACCTTAATCACCTGACTTAATTTAACTTGATGATCAGATTGCTACACCTTAATCACCTAACTTAATTTAACTTGATGATCAGATTGCTACACCTTAATCACCTGACTTAATTTAACTTGATGATCAGATTGCTACACCTTAATCACCTAACTTAATTTAACTTAATGATCAGATTGATACACTTTAATCACCTAACTTAATTTAACTTGACGATCAGATTGGTACACTTTAATCACCTAACTTAATTTAACTTGATGATCAGATTGGTACACTTTAATCACCTAACTTAATTTAACTTGATGATCAGATTGGTACACTTTAATCACCTAACTTAATTTGACTTGATGATCAGATTGCTACACCTTAATCACCTAACTTAATTTAACTTGACGATCGGATTGGTACACCTTAATCACCTAACTTAATTTAACTTGACGATCAGATTGGTACACCTTAATCACCTAACTTAATTTAACTTGACGATCAGATTGGTACACCTTAAATTACCTAACTTAATTTAACTTGACG